CTCTTAACTTTCTTGTTTTTCTATTACTACCCGACGAAGTAGCGTGCTTCTTTCCTGCTGAAGCACAGCTCCCCAGTCATTAAGTCTCTAAAAATAATTCATTGCTTTAAAAGTAAGAATAGGAATGCGGTTAGCAATTTATCGATGAGTACAGATTGAAAGATAAACTAATAAAGGGTGTAAATCCAGAACAGCAAGTAAAATGACATAACCAAAGAGGTATGCAGGGCAATGGAATATGCCTATAGTTATATAACCTGGATCCTGCTATTAAAATTCTAAAATTTCATAAACATACTTCTACGAAAATACTATTAACTAGGATATTATGTCCATGTTTAAGGTGGTAATAAAAGTGAAATGTAACCTAGTAATGGAATTTGACACAATTTTAAACAACCTGATTCCTTTAAAAAAAAAAAGATATTTTTACCTCAAATATGATTTTCCCCCATCACACGAATCAGAAATCAGGCTGTGTGTTTCAGAATTAATTCACTAACAACACAGGTCTCATTAAAATTACAAATTCCACTTTCATCCATTCCTGTAAATGTGCCCCATTGTTTTAGGGGAGAAAAAAAATTTCCTACATCTCCGCTGAACTACGAAAGTACATAACGTTTTAATACATAAAAAACAGCAGTGAGCCTATGTGAAAGGAACTATATGCAAAAAGTTACTGGCTCTCCTTTTTAGGTAAGCAGTACTTAAATTTATTATTAGTGAGCTTCAAAGGTTAAAGCTTAGAAAATGCCAGACACTTTGAAAGAGAGGCTTGCTCAGCCAGGGGTCACATGACAGCTGCTAAGTGCAAAATGTTACAAAGGGAAGGGGGCAGGGCAGGTTATCTGCTTACTCTTCTTTATTGCAACATTGGATTTTCACTAAAAAAAATTTTTTTTAAAGGCTAAGATTTGTATAACTCTCAAAAGAGGCCTGAAATAAATAAATCATCCCCAGGCTGACTGAGCACAGCTGACACCCCATCAAGGCTTCCTTGCAAAAACAGAAAGAGGACTGAATTTTAAAACCAAACTATATTTCGGGGTGCCTGGGCGGCTCAGTTGGTTAAGTGTCTGCCTTCGGCTCAGGTCATGATCCTGGGGTCCTGGGATCGAGCCCCGCGTCGGGCTCCCTGCTCAGCAGGGAGTCTGCTTCTCCCTCTCCCTCTGCCTGCCTCTCTGCCTACCTGTGCTCTCTGTCAAATAAATAAATAAAATCTTTAAAAAAAAAAAACCCAAACTATATTTCTATAGTGAATTTTAATGAAGACAGCCCAATCGTCAAACTAGTTCAATCTTTTTCTGTCATTTCACTTACAAAATTAAGACCCTCTTTATTATAATGCACACGATTTTTAGTCCTTGATTTATCTAAATTTTGTTTATATTTAAATGTATTTTTCTTAAACTATCTTCTGTTGCCTTTTTTAAGAGTATCTTCAGCAATGACAACCTTCTAAAAGGTAAGTTAGATCAGTGGTAATTAAATATTGCAAAATATAGCTCAGTTAATTTTGAAAAGAAAGTTGTATTTCTTTTTTTTTAAGATAATTATTTATTTGAGAGAGAGAGTGCACACATGGGGAGGGGCAGAAGGAGAGGGGGAGAGAAACTTTGGCAGACTCTGAGCTGAGCGCGAAGCCAGACTCAGGCCTGATCCCACAACCCCAAGATCATGACTTGAGCCAAAAACAAGAGTCAGACGCTCAACCAACTGTGCCACCCGGGTGCCCCAGTCATATTTCTTTAAAATCTTCTAAATGGCATTATTTACTAGAAAAGTTATGACATTAATTTCTCTACAAAGTACACATTTTTTACGCCTCTACAAATATTGTATTAAGACTCCTTTAAAATGTATTCTTCTTTATGTATACAATGTTTACATTTAATTCAGAATGATGAAAAAATTTATGATTAATGCTAATACTTTATTGACATGAGCTAGGAAAGTAATAATCCATAGCTAGATTTAAAGTTGAATTTATGACATCATTTTGATTGTGCACATTAGCTGTAATTACCTGCACCACTCATTCTGAGCCACTAGAGGGTGTAAAAAATAAATTAAAATGGTAAAATTTCATTCTATCACCATAAAACCTAATGTAACTCTGAGAAAGATGAAACAGATTTCTAGACTTATAACAATGCTAGTGGTTTCTACACTAATTGTACTTTTTAAAAAAAATCTGTCTCTCTACCTTGATCTAGAAACATGTCCTTTTGAGCAATTTTTCACTCTAAGGACCTTGAGTTCCGAATTTACAGTAATATTAAACATTCATATTGCTGTCATTCATTCACATATTAAGTGAATTTATGATATTAATTTATGGTCTATTTTGGCCAAAGTTTTGATAAAAACTGGGAGACTAAGCCTATAAAAAATTTATTACAGTCTCCAGAGATTCTTATCTGAAACCATCCCCCCAGAATTGCAGAAGCAAGAATCTTCACAAACATATACTGACTCCCAAAGCAACCTGAAAACCAATAGCCAAGATATCGAATAATGGCCCAGAATTTGTCCACATCCCATCAAGGGAGAGCTAAGTGTCCTTTCTTTTTACCTTCACCAAGATCTACCTGGTTGATTCTACCAGGTCCACCACTGGATAAATACTGGTATTAAATCATTCAGCCAACTGTGATAAGGTGCTGGCTAACAATGTCTTGTCTCTTCTTTCAAAAACCAAAATGAGCTCCAGATACAATCATCATTTCTAGGAGGCCCCTCATGAAATGATGCTGCCTGTGGAACTTCGAGCCTTGTGAAGGGCTGATTGAGGAATTATTTTTGGTACACAATACCCAAATAATAGCATTTAGACATTTTAGATGGCACAACACTCTTCCTTTGAGCTGGACCACCACTACCCTCAGCTCTATGATAAAGCTTCACACATAAAATTACAATCTCCACAAAACAGGTTTGGGAACAGAAATTACCTACACTGGGATCCTAGAAGTGTGATATACACCTAGCATTGTACTTTTAACTTTATAATAACAGAAAACTCTACTTGTCTGACAGCGTGTCCTAGAGATTGGTACTCTGAGCTTTTCAGCAACACAGACACCTTGACTCATAAAGAAGGCTTTAAGAACAGATCCACGCTGAAAATAAGTTTCACATTTTACCATAATAATATTAAGACTATAAGCCATTTATCCCTGTAGTTTGGGATTCCAAGTGGAAGCTAATCAACCTTTTAATTTTATACACAATTGCAGCTAAGTTGGTGAAAGTAACTGTGAGCTGAGTAGATTTGAGGAATAATTCCAAGAAACTATCTTGAATGGAAATAAACCAGTTTGGTTTCTATATTAAGTAATTCACTCAAAAAAAAGTGTTGTCTTGGGGGCGCCTAGGTGGCTTAGTCAGTTAAACGTCTCGGCTCAGGTCATGATCCCGGGGTCCTGGGATGGAGCCCTGCATCGGGCTCCCTGCTCAGCGGGGAGTCTGCTTCTTCCTCTTCCTCTGCCACTCCCCACTGCTTGTGCTCACTCATGCGCTCTCTCTCTCTCTCTCTCAAAAATAAATAAATAAAATCTTTTTGTTAAATAAGTGTTGCCTTAACTCAGGACAATTAAATGCTCCATAATAGGCTTAATCCAGGAGTTGGCTCCCAAGAACTAAAAGCATCTTTCCTCAAAAAACAAACAAACATACTAAGGAGTAGAGGGCAGAGAAAAATAAGTGTGAGGAGTCTTAGCTCTGAGCACCCCAACTAGCAATCATCACAGTGGCAATATTTACTTACTAAATATTTCCCACCAATCATCTACAAGTGCTTCCATAGTATTCCTCTTGGATTCCTGGTGCTTGGCATGGGCCCTTTCTGCCCCTTGTAGGTACTTTATAACAGTTTCCAATGAGAAGCAAAAGAGAAAAGGAGAAAACCTTGGTCTGGGAGTCAAGATGCCTGGTTAAGTACTGTCTCTGGCCCTTTCTTGACCCAAGTTTCCTTATCTGTAAAACCAAGAATAGGTAGACGATCATCACTCAGATTCCTCATTCAAATGCTCTATGATCTTCTATGTTATGATTTTATCCACCAGCCATCTTGTGTTAAGAGTCAATAAGTGACCATATTTCCAAATTCTCTTCTGCATCTAGCAAGTCATACTATCTTTCTAAAAAAGTACAAATTTTTCTCTAATCAAGAAACCACATTAAACTCCTAGACTTATAGAACATCTCCCTACTTATATTTAAATAGTTTTCATACATCATTTGTTTCTAAAATAGCTTCATAACGTAGACTGAGGGAGTTTTTTTTATCCCCATATCATAGTAGGGAAAGTTAAATATGAAAATTAAGGGAGCTCACACATGTCATCACAATAAGAAACATGACTTTTAGATCTAAGGACAGAAAGATTTTCAATCACCCAGTATATTAAGAGGCAGAGACACTGATTTATATATATATAAGGATGAGTTCATAGCAACAGACTCTGCCATTATGTTTACAAATACAACTATGTTAAACTTTAAAAAAATCACCTAAAACTGTCTGAATAGAAAAAGCATCGCTTTTAAATTGTCGGAACACCAATGTATTTACATAAAGATGAAAAACTTCTACTATAAACAGTGTTTCCAGTAGTGAATGGCAGACAAAACCAGAATAAGCACACAGAAGAATAAAAAGGAAGAGGAAAGAAAAACATAATAAATAACCTAATACCTTACAATGTTAACTTTCACATAAGTATATTGTTTCTGGAGAAGGCAGTATGTGGATGTGAGCCAAAGGCTGAAGTGATAGGTAAACACACTGTTAAGTTGAATCCTGTTATCTGATTGTGTTTAAAATTTGATTATATTTCACTTGACAAAATAATTAATTATTGTGAACTCCCAATTGTTAACAAGGACCTAGAGGAATTCCAATTGGCATTTTTCCCCAGTGTTGTAAACCCAGATGCATAAAGATCTAGCTTTGTGTTCACCCTTTACAGTTGTCATCTGGGGCGTCTTCTTACCTTGCTAAGAATGTAAATCACATCACCACGTTTAAATGACAACTCATCAGAAAAAGCTCCTGTGCAGTCCCACAAACCCTGGTAAAAATTCGCATAATCGGTGCTTTTATCTCCTAGGAAGAAGAGAGAGAAAACATGAGTTAGAGCTTTCGTGTAATGGGCCCTTAGTTAAGATGAACCAACAGAAATTAAAGGGCCACCTCAAACCACCAAAACAGGCGAAAAAAATTCTGTCCTGATTCAAAGAACATTTGATTACATTTATAGACAAATCCTACTTCTTACAGTGATTTAATGAAGGACTGTTTTCAAAAAGCCCTCTTTTGGAATGTCCCTTGTTTTCTTTCTCTCCCTCCCTTGTTTTATCTAAAACCTGTACTTGCAATGTGTTCTCATCAAATGAGCACCTAAAAGTTCCTTCCCATTTATTTTTGATAATGGACCTAAACCCACTCGCAACATGTGTTGAAGGTGAGTCAGCCACACTGCACGATGAGCAATATCCGCGACATGTGATACATGCGTTGTGAAATAACCACCTTACAGAATTTCTAAAAATTACCAAAAAAGACAGATGAAGGGAAGGAGAAAATAAGTTAGCATTTGGGATGCTTCATAAACAATAATAAATAATCATGAAGGAGCCAATAGGGCACAGATATAACCCAAACTAGGCAACAATTTTTGTTCAATTCTAAAATCTCAAGCTGGTTAGAGGAAGAAGATAAAGTGGGAATGACATAAAGGGTAATTCCAGCTCTTATCTTTGGGGACTTTTGTACCGAAAGCCTCTCAAAGTGATTTCTAAAATATTTGAGCAACTTTGCAATTGCCAATGCTGAAGCTGCATTTTTCAAGATTTCTGTCAGCCCCAGTTTAGGACATTACGCTCTGAATAAACATGCAACATACAGTGGAGTTATCAGCTCATCCTTCTAACAGCATAAGCACAATGGATGTGATGTGCTCAAACTGCCATACAGACCATTAACTGATTGATTATTTAGCGCTCTCCGCTCTGTAATACCACAATAAACCGGGTAATAAATGCTTTGTCACTTATACAATGTGGCTCTCTTGAAACGCAGCACAGAGTTAAATACACTGGATGCTTTTGTTACACTGAGAACTGTTTCCTGTTTTTAATTTCATGATAATTGAGTTTTGATGAGTTAACGCAAGAAGAATGCAAGTAATATCAATAAGATGTCCGTGGATTCACTAACCAGGCAGAACATAGATGTGCTGACAACTTCCATCATTGGAATGTCATCTTTGAATTCTGAGGGGATAACTGTGCAGACGCGTGCTGGATCGGGGTTGTCATCTTAGTTTTGTTATATGGCTCTCAAGCAGCAGGCTCCTTGGCAATGCCAACACAAGCAGGCACGTTAGCGGGGCATCTGAGTTACGCACCTGACCCCACACAGTTTGCGATTTACACCAAGTGGTAAAAGTTTTTCGGAAGTTCCGAAAATTCTAATATCTGAAACATGTTTTTAAAGCCAAAAAGGAAATCTGAATAATGTGGAGGGCGAAAATGTAGAAAGATGACACTTTTCAATTGTACTTTAAGAAAATAAACAATAACTAGAATGTGCAACCTAGCAAAATCCTATTAAATTTTCCTCTCCTGTTTTCTAAAAATTCAAAGGGGGGTAGGGAGGGAGAGAAAAATGGAGAAATGAAAGGAAGGAGGGGGGAAGGAGGGGAAGAGAGAGAGACGGACACCTTCCTGACCTCTCCACTCCAGCATCTGAGCACTCATCACTGCTACCAGCGGGGATGTCTATGAGCCTGGGAATCCGACCAAGAACTAACAATGCTTGCGGCCACCCTTCATTACATTTCCCCCCCAAAGCACATATTAAGTAAATTCTATAAATGGACACTAGAGGGCACTCTGGCTGGACAGATCACGCCAAACGTTGTCAATTTTTTCTTTTAGAAAGAATTACTTAATAATAAAGTGACTGATTTCCTTTAAAAACCACTTATTTAGACAAATAGAGATTTAGAAGTTGAGACATTCTAGTCAGATTAAATCAACTGCTAAATGGGTCAAATGTTGCGCCCCATGCAGTCCGTCAGTGTCAGTTTAAAAGTCAAGGAATTAGAGCACAGAGAGGATGACATCATTTCACATGCAAGGCCCTGCCCCACAGTCACTGGCCAGGAGGTAAAAGGATCTAAATAGCTGGTTTCCCCAGTCAAGGCTCCTGTGTGTTCCCCATGCTGCTTAGCCTGAGGCTTGATCCAAAAAGGTTAAAGAAACAAAACTTGGGCTAAAACTGGAGAAGTTTTGGCTGAGCGAGAGCATCCCAGTGTGTTCCCAGCTGTCCAGCCAGCTCCTCTTCTTTTAGATTCTCTCGCAACAGTTTTTCATTCAATAGATTTTTAAGAGGTGGGGGAAGAAAGAAGGAAAGAAAAAGTATATGGCGATTTCTACCACATAATCCTTATCACTTTGGGGGCTCTCTTCCCCTCGATGCGCTTGGTGAAACTCCCATTAACACTAATGGGAGTCACAGGAGCACATGAGGGGAAGGGAGACCCCCACCGTGTGCAAGATGCATCTCTCCCTAGATGTGCATCATGAGCATTTCATTAAATCTCACTGCTGTAAAGACGCAAGAGCGCTAGCGATTTGGCAATACTGGGGAAAAGATGCATTTTCTACTGTGCTTTCTACAATCTCGATGATGATGTTACCCAAAGACCAACCTCATTTCTGTGTCCCATATGTGAGCTGTGTTAAAGAATAATAAGTTGTTTATGTCACACGACTATTGTACACACAATTTACCATTCCGTCTATTTCAGAATGCAATACTAGTTACATAAAGCAGAAGAACCATGACTAGAGAGAAAACCTGCCAGTATAGATTTATTAGCCTTACTCTCCTCGGGAAAATAATGTTAAAATTCTGGGTATGAATTCTAGATACAAAAATTGGGAATTATTTTATTCCTTCGAGAGCAGCAAGCTTCTCTGGTTTACAATTTTTTAAATTTTAAAATTTTAAGTGTGGCTAACCATGCTCAAAAAATTACCCATGGATACAGCCTCAGAAGCACAATGAACTCACAAAAGTTAGCATTGTTCACCTATACATTGAAAAATAATCCATGTAAAATATGTTTTTAAAAAACAACACAAAAATGGTATGGAGCATAATGCATAAACCACAGAGAATCATATATTCTGAATACAAATAAGTCTGTCATCACTGCATGGACTAATCTTACCGCATCATGATCTATGGTTTCAAAATTACAAAAAAAAAAAAAGCAAAAAACAAAACCCACCTCATTACATTTCTTGTCCCAGGAGGCGTGAATGGTTAAAAAAGAAGGGAAAGAAAGAAAAAAATAGCCATCCTAAATTAGCCAGGCTGTGAAAGATTTAAACAATGTATTTGCTCCTGCTTTTGAAAACATACAAAAACAGATCACTGGGCAGTAACAGAACTGTTAGGAAAATATAAGCTAAACATTGGAAGATACTTTTGCAAAAACCAAAAGATTTTAAAAATATGATGACAAGGACTGAAACATTCAATAATAAGATAATGGAAAATCTCTGAGTGGTCTTAAAGGTTTAAAAAGTATTTCAGAAAGGTAAGCATATTCTACAGTGTACAAATAAATCAAATGAAATCTTTATTTTGTGTATATATACTAAATATATGTAAGACACATAAGCTTGAACATGAAAGAAGTTATAAGAAATACAAGATTATGTTTTTGTTTATGTATTTTACATTCGTCTGAATTTTTTTCTTTTTAAGTAAAATCGGTCAATGTGAAAAATATATAACATTCTTGAGTAAGGTTAGAAGTTCATGTCATGTGATGCTCAGCAAGATAGTAATACCCTTGTCAACTCACTGCCCTGCACAGCAAACAAACTTCTAGTGTTACATCTTTGACAGCCTAGAGAGAGCAAAGGTCACTGCGATGCAAAAGCATTAAAACTGTTGCTTGAAAAGAATTTCATGTCACTGAAGATAAGAATTATTGCAGTGCTTTATGGCTATTGCATGGAAAGCTAGATCTACTTACTGCATTCCTTTGAAGAAAAACGGACTTTTTTCTTCCTTCCCTCAAAGGCAAAAATTGGGGAGAGAGTTACTTTAAAAGGATTTTTGAAAAATAGGATTGCTTTAGGCCAAAATACTTATGTTTCTGGAAGGAATATCTGTATATGTCTACCTTCTACACCTGCACTGAAATTTAAAAAAAAAAACAAAAACCTCCACGCTTTTGGCAGAAGCTTTATGACACACAATAAAACACGCAAATTACTTGAATTACTATTGGGTGGCATCCTCAGGGTTATGTCCAGCCTTCGCGTTTTATAGCTGCATCTTACAGGACCACAGCACTCACATCGAATGCCTTCGTCCTCACTTCCTTTCTGAAAAAAGCAAACCAAAACCTCATGCAGCAACCTGCCCCTGCTTTCCTGTCCAGGTCCGGAAATCAGGCCTGTTTCCTTTCCACGTGTCCCGGTAGGAAGGCCTGGGGAAAGCTACTTCCTGAACACACACTTCCTGTCCGCCCAGCCTCTGACAGCTAGCAAGAGTGATGTATGAACGTATCAGAGAAGGGAAGGTGACCCTCAACGCCAGCTCTTTGCAGGACATGGGATGATATGGCAGACCTTGCCCCAGCTGACACACGGCTGTGAAGAGGTGTATAAGGCCCGATAAGAAGGCATTCCCCCTCTCTTCTTTCCGTGTAGAATAATTGCTGATTTATCAAAGCTAACCTCATGCTTGCACTACAGATACGGTTTATCTCCTGCTATTTGGAAATAACAACCCGCAAAAAAAAAGTTGCCCATATCATGTGATTCTGTACATAGCATGTATAGTTATTTTTCTAGTCTCAGCCATAATTAGTACTTGGGGCCATGTGCCAAGTGGAAATGGATAAGGGGAATATCCTTCCTAGCCTTCTAGGCCATCAGTGTCCTTTTCCAATTTTTTAAACTGCTGTCACTGGACTCTGGCATTTCTTACACCCAATTCATTTGCTTTCTGTGTTAATCATATGCAATGAAGATATGCATGGCCAACATTTAAACAGGCTGCAGATCAATTAGCGGTCTTAAGTTTATCTGATTTTTATCAAAGAAGACAGAGCTGTGGGTCGATTGTCAGAGCCTGTGTCAAGTTGACCTTTTCAGAGATGTCTACATTGCCAGTCCCCTGGGCAACTTGTTGTCCCCTGTTAGTCTCTGAATGGCAGAAGTCTGTTCTGCTCAAGCACAAAGTATACACAGATGTCTATATTACATTCTTATAGGTTTGACAGCAACTGCATGTTGTATCTATAAACTGTCCTTTAGCAGTGACACTTCCTCAATGATGATAAGCTAATTTATGCAACTAAATCTCCTTTGTGCAGAAATGAAAGCTAATTGAGTCATTACAAAGTAATTCAGGAAGGAATACCTTGTATAAATTGGCTTACTTTATAAATCCTTCTCCAGTGGTTTCCCTGCATCCTAAATGGGACTAAGCAGCTTATCAGCCATAAGATATCCAGATCGAACCAGCCAACTTCGGGGAGTTGTGTAAACATCTTTAGAGCGGTAGGAAAGTGACTGAAGGGAAAGTGAACAAAACCAATAGAAGCTTCCCCAGGAAGCCACACCAGCCATTACCTGTGGTGGGATGAACACTGTCCTGACTCATCTTCCTTTGTTCCTCCACTTCCGCAGGAACACTGTCCTCTTCGTCTTCTGTAAACAAGCAGAAATGGCACCCTGAAGGGTTTCCTCAGAAAGAACAGAACTCACCCCATCTTATGAGCAAAACTGAAAGTTTAGAACGTATAAATATTCCTTCTCAAAGGATGAAACCACTCAACATTCACATTCCTTTTTTAGTAATCTAAAGCTGAACAAACAAACCTCGAGCTATTTCCAAATAGCAACCCTACCAGTTGGCTTGATAAAATTTAAGATACGTACTAATGCCACACATACTTTAAGTACTTACAGAAACTCATCTGGAACACTCCTAAATCCAGACCGGCCCTGAAATCTGGGGAAGGAACACCCAGCACTATATGGACAGACCCACATTACACTGTGGCAGGAGGACCACGGATAAAACCATGGTCCCTAAAACACCAGTGTGGCCAAAGAAAATGTGTGATATAAAATAAAATAAAATAAAATAAAACAAAATACAGTTAACCTGTAAATCATTTCTTGAGTTATCAGATACTTCATGTGTTCCCATTTGATCTTCACAGGAGAAGACTAGAAGGATCCTCACCCTTCAAGGCAATTCCCCCCAAATTCTACTGAGGATCTACTATGTGCCATAAGCTATTGCAGATGTTAAGATTTCACAGATCATTTTAAATCCTCCTTTTACAGATGAGTAAATTGAGGCTCAAAAAGGTAAAGAAACAACCACTGTTTGTGATTCATCCTCAGGCTTGTGATCATGAAGTCCGTGTTCTTTATCCTGCAATGTATTCAGGGCCCTATGTTTGTTATTCCCACGCTCTCCTATCACATTCATTTCCTCCCCCCCCCACCCCCAGTTATAAGAAGAAACAGGAGAAGACTAAATGAGAAGAGTTTTAAACAGAGTCAATAGACTATATTTAATTATTTTACATTAAAGAACCATTTATTACATGTCCATTTTCCTCACCTAAGGATTTATACACACTTTGGAAATATTTAAGGCAGGACATAGGAACAAAATGGCATGCCCCCCAAAAAAACAGAGTTCAAAAAGAATACTTTCAAGAAAAATCAAAAATGTTAAAGTAAAATATGCAAAATATATAAATATAGCCATTATGACTATTAAATAATTCAACCAATAAATCTTCATTGGATATTAGCTACCTGTAAGAGAAAGGTTCTACCAGGAAGGCAAAGACAGTAGGGAGCTTCTGCCCTCAGGAAGCTGACAGCCTACAGGGGACAGAAGACAGTATCTAAAGGAAAACGGGATAAGGGGCATAGAACCTGACATGGGAAGCACAAGGTTCGGAAGGATGGCAGAGAGGAAACCACGCAAGGGGGAACGCCATGAAGGCTCTGAGGTGTGGAGAAAATCGGAACAGAGAGAAATGGGAAGGAGGAAATATCTAGACAGAGGGAGAGTCAGAAGCAAAAGAAAAAGTGCAATAATATCCATTTGGCTAAAGAATGCAGTACTCAAAGGGGAAGAACAGGATGGCAGATAATGCTAGTGGTTTGGGCCAGCTGTTGAAGGGCCATAAACATCCAGCTATGGACTTTAGCCTTTTATTTGGTGGGCAACAAGAGCCCCCGAAGATGTTCGAGCAGAGAAAGGGCAGGACCAAAACTATGTTTGAGGAATGGTCATCTGATCTCATTGTCCCAGATAGCCTGAAGGAGGGCGTGGGGAGAGAGACCACTCAGAGTCTGGCTAGAGGGGAAGGAAGTCCTGAACTGAAGGGGCAGAGGAAATGGAAAGGAGCCAGTTATAAGAGGGAAAGGAACTAGAATTGATGAACTTTGTGCCTGCCTGGATGTGGAGGGCTAAGGGAAGAAGAGCAATCGAGAAAGGCTCAAGTTTTGAGCTTAGGTAACAGCAAAATGAGAACATCATTCCTGAGAAAAGAATAGCCAAGATGAGCTATATTACCTAGGGAACACAGGAGCTGTGTTTCTGATGTGAGAGATTTATTTATTTATTTATTTATTAAAGATTTTATTTATTTATTTGACAGAGAGAAAGACAGCAAGAGCAGGAACAGAAGCAGGGGGAGTGGGAGAGGGAGAAGCAGGCCTCCCGTGGAGCAGAGAGCCGGATGCAGGGCTCAATCCCAGGACGCTGGGATCATGACCTGAGCCGAAGGCAGATGCTTAACGACCGAGCCACCCAGGTGCCCCTGATGTGAGAGATTTAAATTTATTTATTTGAGAGAGAGAGTGCACACATGGGGGGAGGGGCTGAGGGAGAAGGAAAGAGAATCTCAAGCAGACTCCCCGCTGAGCACAGAGCCGAATGCAGGACTCCATCCCACAACCCTGAGATATTAACCTGAGCCAAAAACAAGAGTCGGAAGCTTAACCAACTGTGCCACCCAGCGCCCCTCTGATGTGAGAGATTTAATGTACTGGTGGGGCAACCCAGAGGAAATGTCCGGAGGCAACTGGAAAGTTTGGTAGAGAGGTCAGGAGTACAGATGCAAAATTAGAAGTCTCATGCAAGTTTTGAAGTGGTGATTACTAAAATTCAACATTTAAATCAAGCTTGAGAGTTACTGTATTTATAAAACAAACATAGAACTGTTTTGCATTTCTGTAACTCAATTCAAACAAAATAATGAAAGCTCCAAAAAAGGGAACCGCTGGAAATATTTGGTTCTTTATACATATTAAGTTGACCCTAATGTTGGCAATTTAATATGGTTCGGGCAAATAGTAATTAATACAGCAAGACCTAATAAAAACCTAATACTAAATCCTGTCTTTTTCCTCTTCAACAAGTTATCTCACTTACGCCAAACCACAAGGACCAGTTATCATGTATGAGTGAATAGGATGTTTTCATACAAATTTTAAAGTTCTTAAGGACATTTATAGTCATTTGGTCCAACCTACTTATTTTACAGATGGTTAATTTTTCTTAAAGGAGGGGAAAACTTTCCTTACTTTTCACACTTTCTCTTTCCCCAGCACTCCCTCTCCCCCGACTGGGTCACAAATCTGACAGTAAGGAGTAAATTCAAAAACAGTGAAGGGTGCTTGCCCTCACATCAAAAGCCATGACCACAACAATTTAGGGAGCACTAATTTTGGCTCTCAAGAAGACACAATGGGATGTAGACTTACTACCCAAAGTTAGTGTCAAGATATCACAAAAACTAATTACAGTAATTGAATGGAAAACTCCACTCTTGGCAAAGTAAACAATGAACTTAGAAGAATTTATTACTATGACTTTATTCTTATTTTATTAAAATTTAAGTGCCTATAAATGTACACAATGTATTCTTAAATTACCAGAATAATGGTATTAAAATGTTTATTTAAGTATCAATATTTACTGAGAAGTATCCAAACTGAAATCCATGTGAGATGCTGAACAAGTAGTATTTTAGAGGAGGAAACGCTCATTAAAGAAACTTCCTTTCTCCGTTTCAAACCTATTTTTAAGGTCAAAACCTTCTGTATTTCATACATCAGTTTTTCTTAACAATATTCAAACAACTCATTTTATCTTGGGCTAACAATACAAATAGCTTCCATATAAAAGAAAACAAAATCAAATTTGGGGTGTGTGTGTGTGTTTTAATCTTAGGGGGAAAAACTCAGACTGAATCTTGAATAGTCTGGTACAAGGGAGATGTTCAAAAATATGGAGTGAACAAATGGATTCAAAATCATGAAAATAAATCCTACTATGTTCATTTATTAACAGAGAAAAACTCTCCACACCACTCAAAAAATATATAAGGACAAATGAAAATTCTAGGCAATAATCATCTCCACAATATATTAGAAATATACACACATGTTGTTTTATTTAGGTTTATTATTAAATATATTTTATTTTGGTGTTATCACGATGTCATTATACAATACTAATTAATACCTCAAATAGTCAGTGTTTGTGGGTTAATATATTCCCATTCAACATTTTAATAACAGTAAACAAAAACAGCTCAGCTATGCAGTAAAATCCATCAAACCACACAGATGGTTATAAGGTTTTCATTATGTGGTTTCCATAGCAATCATATTGCAAATCTGGAAGCTTCTTGCAAATAAGCAGCTTGTATTTACATGCCTCTCAGCTGCAGCACAAAACTCTTCAACATGTGAAGTTATTATTCCAATCACACATTGTTAGAAGAATCATCAGAAAATTTTGTTGATCAGACAAGATGAAAATAATAGTAAACTAACTGCAGAAGATAATTCAAACACAGTCATACATTTACCAAACTAATCAGTATTAGAAATATTCTGGCAGTCATCAGAAGGTTTTAACATTATACCAGCTCAAAAATATGGAAGTTCCAGGAACAATCAGATCCCGTGGAATCCAAAAGCTGAACTCCACTCTCCCATTTTCAGAAGATGTTTGGTCTTCCTTCTGAGTCGAGCAGAGAAAGACAGACTAGCAGAGAACTGAGTCTTCCCAAATCTTTTTAGGATGACTACATTTGAGGAAATGCTTATGTGGGAAAAGTCAAGACCTTTTTTTTTCCCCTGCTAGATTAATCAATTTAATTTACAAATTGATCCAGTTCCATAACAGACGGATTATTACCCTAATAAGGATCACAAATCTGTCTAGCTATGCAGTTTTTACAAAATGGCTATTTCTTGCTTACTAATGTTCTTTAAGGACAAAATAACCCAAAGAGAAAAGTGATAAGCAAATGACATGTACAGCTGACATTGCTTGAAAAAGCATCACAACAGGGTGTGTGACAATTGCGGAGGGGCTGGAAACTGATCTTATCACGTCTTCCAGGGAGAAGAGGACAACATGAGAAAATCTTTCACTCACACACAATGATTACCTTTCTAAGTACCTTCAGAAAACAGTTCTGCTGAATTACAATGTATTTTAAGAGACATAAAACACAGAATCAAAAGCTATGCTCTGAAATAAAGATTGAGTGTAGATCTCTACCTGCCCTGACTTCATTGGATTACAAGACTGTATGTTTGTCTCACGAAAAAGTTAGTATTTATTGCTTAAATGTTCATGCTGTATGCATTTATATCCA